CACACACACACACACACACACACACACAAACAAACAAAAAAACTAACTTCAGCTCTCCCCTTCTTTTTTCGGAGGCCCCGCGTGGCCTCAAATTTTTGTTTTTATTTTTTTTGTGGTTCTTGACGTGACATCCCACTCGGGCCTAAAACACACCTCCCCAACTTTTTTTTTTCTTTCGACCCCTTATTTTTGGGGTGCGCTGCACCCAGTGCGCGTGCGTTGTGCGCTGTGCGCGGCAGCAGCGCACGTCGATGCGCCGTATGTATGGTTTGAAGTTTGAACCCTCATGGAATCAGGCGAATGGAATGATGGTAGTGTGTCATTAACCCATAATACCAAGAGCTAATCCAAAATCACCTACTCGATTCACAAGCATTGCGTTAATAGCTGCTTTATTTGCTTGAAGTTGTATTGCGTTAATAGCTGCTTTATTTGCTTGAAGTTGTGTAAACCAAAAATTAATTAACAAATATGGTGCGAGACCTACTCCCCCCTTAGCAAAAACAAAAGAAAACAAAACAAAACAAAAAAAGAGCAAAGGTGGGATGTCCTTTGAGACATCCGTTAAAAACAAAACGAGTGCACCTGCCCACAAAAGGAGGCAAAATACGCTCGCTACTATTTATAGTAAACCGACGAACCTGGCCATTTTCTGCAGGAAGATGCACTCGTTTCGTTTTTTTTTTCTTTTTTCTTTTTTAAAGGTAAGCTATATTCTTCTCTCATCTATCTCATTTTTCTTGATAGTACTCATCTATCTCATCCTCTCACTATTCTATATATAGTATGGGGGAACACCAACCAACCCGGATCCCTCCCCAGCCCACAGGGTAGGTTGGCACCACAGCTGTGGTGCGAGGGCAAGGCTGTACCAGTCCCTGATCACGGTGACGAGGGGTGGGCAGGCATTGCCGATGGGGGAAATCGGCGGTGCTAGCACTCGTCCGTGCGGCGTGGCCCTGAGTCTGGTCTTGCCAGGGCGCACCAAGTTTCGCTGAGTAGTCAGCACAGCGTTTTTTTGTTTTGTTTTGTTTTGTTTTGTTTTGTTTTGTTTTGTTTTTTTGGTTCTTCTGGCTGGCGCTGCCAGGCTCCAGCCACGGGGAGGGGTGCCAAGTCCCACTAGCAGCTTTGAGTTTCCTCGACGCCTGAATCTGGACGTGTTTGTGGAGAGGTGCGGTTGAGGAAACTCAACTCGATTTCTGCACATCTCCACAAACACGTCCACATTCAGTCGTTGAGGAAACTCAATGCTGCTAGTGGGACTTGGCCCCCGGTCGCCCTGAGCCTTTGAATTATCCCCCCTGAGCCTTTGAATTATCCCGAATGTTACATTTTTTTATTGTCTTTTATTTTTTTTTTTTTTACTTTTTTTTTTTTTTTGCCAGAACAATGTCTTTATAAAAGCCGGGAACCGCAACCAGCGTCCCTCACAAAATTAGGTGGGGCCCTCAGTGGGCCCTTGGGGCATCACTGGCCAAGCACATCGAGGGTACCACTAGATTTCACCCCGCCGCCAACTCGACAACCAACTCCACACAGCCCCGAAGATGCCTGCGAAAAGATAGTGGTGGTTTTAAATAGGAAAGATATGGAGACGATTAGCATGGGCCCTGTGCAAGGTGGGATTGCCACTCCCTCCCTCCCTCCCTCTCTCGCCCTCCCTCCCTCCCTCCCTGCGTAAGGATGACACACATAAATCAAGAAATGGTCCAAAATTAACACAAAAAAAAGGGCAAAGGTTGGATACACTGCCCAAGAGAGAGGGGCAGCAAACAGCATATTATAAATTAATATAAAAAACGAGTTTTTTTGGAAATTGTCATCGGAATCAGGATTTAAGATTCAACTTCAAGGCATAGTCACAGTAGCACTTTTTTTACTTGTTTCTGGACGGAATTGCGGCCAGAAGCATACAGGTCTGGCCTATAAATGTGGTAGTGAGTACGCCGGCAGATTCATTCATGACCAGATAAACAATGAGATGGCGAGTGTGAGGATTCTTTTGGGATGTGTTAGAACTTATAAGCTATGCATGAGATGGGCAGTGCCAACATTCTTTTTTTTTTCTTCCTCCCCTCCCCCTGAAAAAGCATTCTTTTTTGTTTTTCTGTGTGTGTTCTTTTTTTCTTCTGTCAGCGGGCGAGACAGACAAATCATGAGATGGCCAGTGTCGGAATGTTCCTTTTTTTTATTTTATTTTATTATTTACTTATTTATTTAATTTGGAGAATTTTGGACCATTTTCGATTTATGCGTGTCATCCTTCGTTGTGTTCTTTCTTGGTCTGTCAGATGTCAGAGTGAGTGAGAGTGTTTTTTTTTGTTTTTCTTTTTCTTTTAACAAGAGAGGTTTTTTTCCCAGGTACTTCACCTGAAGTGGCAAGAGGGAAAGAAAGGGGGCGTGTTCACACAGGTGCTGGTATGAATGAACCTGGACAAAGTTTCATGCAGATTTATGCAATGATTGTGCGAGTGTAATGACCTGCAAAATCACAGACTGAGAACTGTGCTGATTTCTGAGTTTTTCCGCTGGATTGTGTGTCTGCTGAGATTTCTAAGTTTGCTGAGATGTCTCAGTTTGCTGAGATTTCTGAGGGCATCGCCACGCCACTCTGGAAATGTGCAAAATGAGAATGAACTTCCCGCTAGAACATGGCCAAATGCGTCCGCCACATTTTGTCTTTTCACATTTCGAGAGTGGTGTGGCCATTCCTCCATTATGCAGGAGCAATCAATGCTGGTCAGTGTTCCTTCGGCCACACGGAAGGAAGCGTGAGCGTGTTTCATGATGTAATATTTTATTCCAACTTGCCGGTGGAAAAGGAACCGGACTGATGCTCCCGAGAATGGAAATGCAGCCGGGGCCGTAGTGCCGATGTCCTAAGTTTGTGTGTGAGCGTGTTTGCTGGTTTCTGTGTGTTTGTCGGGATGCCTGAGTGCTTGAGTGAGTGTGTGTGGCCTGCCAGGGCACTTGTGTGTTTAAGAGGCCCGCGGTACTTACTTGTGGCCGTGACTTTGGTTGCAGAGAGGGAAAACACTCAAGTAGCGGCTAGGCTAGGCCATAGTGCTCCAGTAGCGGTAGGCCTAGCAGAAGAAGACAAAAAGTTGGTATTTTTAGATGCCCAGTAGCAGTAGGTTTAGGTCTAGTGCCCCACTCATCCTCGATGGCCACCACATCATATCCCTTGCCAGGGATTGGTGGGCACCATTGAGGGGGTCGGTCAGGGAATGCATCAGCTGGCGTAAAAGGCAACAGCTTAGATGCATGAAAGACCAGATAGGTTCGTAGATGCAGCGGAACGTCGATGACGTATGACGGACCGAAGGGATCAGCGCCCACTGTATCTAGAACCTGCCACGGACCCAGGTAGCGCGGCAACAGCTTGGGCGAAATATCTTCCTCCCTCGACAACTCAGAACTGGCCACCCAGACATAGTCACCAGTGCGGATGGGGGAAGGCCACCTGTGGAGGTTTGCTTGTTCAATCATGGCCTTTTGGGCCTTGAACAAGTTCGCCCGGGCTCTTTCCACATCCAGACGATAGCGTCTGGCGAACTCTGCAGTGCCTGGGGTGCTTAGCCTTGTCGATGATATCATCGAGAGGCTGTCGTGGCTCACGTCCCTAAAGTAGTCGGTAGGGACTGAACCCTTTCGAGGAGTGGACAGACATGTTATACATGAGTTGTGCCCTCACCAAGTGGAGATCCCAGTCCTGCTGATCTGGAGAGATCACAGGACGTAGCAACTGGAACAGGACTTGGTTCATCACTTCAGCCAATCCATTGGCTTCAGGATGACGACCAAAAGTCATATCCAGGCGGGAGTGCAGATAGTCCTTGCAGTAGGACTGCCACTCATCGCTGCAGAATCTGGGGTCTCGATCACTAACAATAGAGGTGGGCGGTCCATGGTGCGTGACCCACCTCTCGGAAAAGGCTGCTCTCACAGCCGGTACCCTGGCTACCTCTGGCAAGGGGATGAACTCTGCGTATTTGGAAAACCTGTCCACGCAGACCATGACCTGACGCATGCCACGAGGGGTTGTTTTGCCTAAGTCTGTAAAATCAATGGATACAGACTGGGCAGGACCATCAGGTATGGGCAAAGGTTTGAGCAATCCCAAAGGAGGTTTACGCTGAACCTTGTTCCTTTGGCAGAGCTCACAGGTTTCCACATAGCGCAGCATATCACTCTGCATCTCCTTCCAGAAGAAGCGCTGCGACAGGGCTGCATACGACTTTAGGAACCCAAAGTGTCCACGCGCGTCGTGGCACTCTGACATCAGCAGTGTCCGCATCTGCTGATCCTCAGGGATGCACAAACGCTCCTCTCCTCTGCTGTAAGTATACAACAGATCTGAACTCAGGACATAGCCAGGTTCAGAGTTGGGATCTGCTTGCAGATTCCTGACGATGGGTCCATAAGTCGGATCCTGAGGCAGTGAACGAGCAATGGTCTGACGGACCTCCTCTCCAAAGGCATGAGTAGAGGAGATCAGCGCAAAAGAGTCAGGCCTCCGAGAGAGGGCATCAGCTACTTTGTTGTAGCAACCCTTCTTGTGCTTCAATTCAAAGTCAAACAGATCAATGAACTGAATGTAACGTGTCAACTTATCATTTAACTCTCCCTGGGACTTCAACCACTGCAAAGTGGAATGATCAGAAAAGATCTTGAAGTGCCTGCCCAGGAGAAAGTGTTTCCAATGTTTCAGAGCACTGACAAGAGCATAAAGCTCATTCTCGTAGGTAGAGTCCTGAAGTTTCTGAGTCTTAATCTTCTTACTCATGAACTCTACAGGTCTCAGACCATTCCCATCATCCTGCTGAAGGACTGCCCCAATGCCGTACTGGCTAGCATCAGTAGTCAGTACAAAAGGCAAGGTGGGGTCAGGCAACTTCAGAACAGGTGCACGAGTCAAGGCCTGTTTGAGTTGTGCAAAGGCCATCTGACAGTGAAGAGACCAAAGAAAGGGAGTGTCTTTCTTTGTGAGGTTAATCAGGGGTGCAGCCACAGCAGAAAAGTTCCTGACGAACTTTCTGTAGTATGAGGCTAGACCCAAGAAAGACCGGACATCTCTCACTGTCTGGGGTTGTGGCCAATCCTGAATAGCAGCAACCTTGGCTGCTTCAGGGGCCAAACAATCTCCATAGATTACATGACCCAGGTAGATAACAGAGGGAACTCCAAAAGAGGATTTCTCCCTATTGATCTTGTGCTGACTGTCATGTAACGACTGAAGGACTAGAGCCAGGTGCTCCACATGTTCCCTGGTAGTTTTGCTGAATACCAGGATATCATCCAGGCAGACAACCATAAACTTATCCAGGTACGGCCTGAATATGGGGTGCATCTCAGTCTGGAATGTACCAGGTGCATTACAGAGTCCAAATGGCATCACCAGGTACTCATGAGTAACATACCTGGTTTTGAAGGTCGTCTTGTGGACGTCCTCCTCTGCCATCTCAATCTGGTGATAGCCAGATTTGAGGTCGACTTTGCCGAAGATGGTGCAGCCCTGGACCATATCCAAGAGGTCATCGATCCTAGGAAGTGGCTTTGTACTCTTCCTAGTGATCTTGTTGAGATCCCTATAGTCTATGCACATTCTGAACTCACCACTCTCCTTTGGAACAAAGAGGACTGGAACACCTAATTCAGAAGTGTTGGGCTTGATCCAGCCTTTGCTGGTCAGGGTCTCAAGCTGTCGCCTGAGCTCCTCAAACTCAGCAGGTGACATCCTGTAGATGCGACCCTTGGGAGGGACCGCTCCAGGCAGCAGCTCAATGTGATGCTTGGTTGGCCGGTTGGGTAACCCAAAGGGCTCCTGCATCAGATCAACATACTAATCCACAACCTGCTGTATCTCAGGAGGACAGGGAGTAGAAGGAGCGTCTGTCTGCTTGACCAGAGCTATGAACAGACGCTCGTGGTCGTACTGGCGTGAGAGAGCATAAAACTCTCTCGCTCTCAAAGCAAAAGCAGGATGTCTTAGGGTGGTGATCAGCTGCAATCATACAAGGCTGATACACCCTTTTGCTGTTTGGCAGCTCAACCTTAGGGATCTGCCAGTCGATCCTTGGGTTGACCGCTCTCAGCCACTGCATGGAGAAAACCAGGTCAAAGGGTAGATCAGGGAATATGTAGAAGTTCAGACTATGTYTGACTTCTYCAGCACYGTCGAAGGTTACAGGGATACCCCTGACCTTCTCCCTGATGGWCAGAAYRGTGGAGTCACCTATCCTGACCTGCAGCGGTTGCTGCAGTTGTACCACTTTCATGCCCAGATGCAGTTTTTTGACTGCAYTGGGAGACATGAAATTTCGGGTGGCTCCACAGTCTAGTAACCCCTTGATCCTGGTGTGGTTGATCAGGGGCCGGAGGAGTATGAGATCAGACTTGTTCTGCTTTTGTTCTTTCAGATGAAAGAAAAAAGCAGCGAGAGCCTGACACTCAGACGGGTCCGGTTCCTGATCCGGGTCAGGATCCTCATGTGCGAAGGATGCTACCCGTGCAGTCCCTGCACTGGGTAGGAAGGAACAAGTCTCAACTGAAGTTGCTGCAGCTGCAGATGCAGGTGCAGCACTGAAGGGAACTGCAGTCTCCAGGTTCAGCTTCAATTTTTTGACTGAGTTGGGCTAGGCATGTAGGGACAGTCCTTCAAGAAGTGTTGTCCCTCACACCTCAAGCAGACACCTCGCTCCTTCCTCTTCCTCCACACTCCTTCCTGGATTTTCAGATCATGCCAGGGAAGGGTGTTGGGATTCAGAGGGTCTGCTGGAAAACGGACGTCACGTGGCAGGTTAGGGCACCGGGCAGGGGTTGAAGAGCGACGTCCCTGGCTCTTTCCCTTGCTGCTGGAGGCTGTGCTGGCGGCAGACCCGGTCTTTTGGAAGGCCCCCAGCGCAGCCTGCAGCTGCTGAACAACTGTTGCAACATCCGGGACAACAGCTGAAACAGTCCCAACTGGCGATGTACCAGGTTGGGATCGTGTCTCAGAGGCTGACCCAGAGCCTCCATATGCAAAGGCCGCCTTTCCCCTTTTACCACCGCGAGGGAAGGCGCCTTTCCTCCTATCACTGGAGGGGGCCTGGACATGGAGCTTGGTCTCCATGTCTAGTGCTGCGCATCCAAAAGATCTCCAGTCTTTGTGACCGGCGCTGTACAATGCAACACAAAACTTTTCAGGCACAGCCCTGCAAAAGTTAGTTAACAGATCATCTGGAGACATAACCAATCCAGGGGTGGAAGTCAACTGTTCAAATTCAGCAAACAAGGCCTGTAGACTGCCGCTGTAACGCTGTTGGCCCAGGCGTACTATCTTATCAGCAGCTTTGCGGACTCTCTCTTTGTCTGCAAACCTATCTTCCAGGGCCTGCAAAAGTTTGTCAGCCCCCAGTGCCAATGCCCAATCCTCCAAAGTCTGATTCTGGGCACTTGCTGTAGAGGTAGCCCATTTCTGGGCAGGCCCCTCCAGCAGGCCTACGACAGTTGCCACCTTTTGCTGCTCTGGGCACTAGAACCCTTTCAGATAGGTCCGGGTACCAGTTGCCCAGTCCCCCACATCAATCTTGGGGTCATCCCCCTTGAATTTGTTAGGGGCAGGGATCTTGGGACCTCTGTGGTCCCCAGCAACAATAGCAGCAAAGGTGGGAGGAGGTGTGGCTTTGGCCTGGGAGGAGACAGAGGGGGAAGATTTGTGCGAAGAATGAGGAGACCTAGGAGGTGGAGAAGGAGGTGGAGAAGGGGGTTGAGAAGSCTTCTTGGGCTTCAGAGAGGGGACCACAGGGACCAGGGGACTGATGASGTTGGCTGCTGTTAACTGAGCAGTCAGATTCTGGATAGCATCCAGGATCTTAGACTGCTGAGTTCCCAGATCAGCCATTCTAGTCTCCAGCCGCTGGATCCTCTCATCCCAGTTTGTGAAGTGGCTGGCTGTAAGTTTGTCTTATAAAAGTACCAGCTCAGCCAGCTCCCATAGTGTGACGGGCGGTGTGTACAAGGCCCGGGAACGGATTCACCGCCGTATGGCTGACCGGCGATTACTAGCGATTCCGCCTTGATGCAGGCGAGTTGCAGCCTGCAATCCGAACTGAGACCGGGTTTTTGAGGTTAGCT